AGAGAGAGAGAGAGAACAAAAAAAGCTTCAGTTGCCATCTACTACAGCGACCCTTAAGGCACCCCTAGTTTGCCGGAATTATGTTTAGTTTTGCCTAGAGTTCAAGAGTTCATCTTCCGGTTTCAAGCTCTGCCGTGCAGCAAGGGAACGCTGAGCAGCATCCGCCGCGGACACCAGGGTTGCTCACCCTCTGCTGCGATGCAGGTGACGACCTCATCTACACGGCGAATGGCACAAACCATCAATACAAGAGCGTCCCGGTAGCATCAGTGAGGTCGAGTTGGGCTCTAGGGTCCACGGCCTCGCAAACGGCGTTGCCGCCACTGGCTGAGTTGGCAGTCACAGAGCCCTGGCAAGGCTGAACAGCACCCATTCACGCTTGCTGGCCGTGTCCAGGTAGAAGAGTTACTTCTCTTGCGCAACGACGATCAGCGCGGCTGCCCGCGCCTCCAGGAGATCCTCCAGATCCACCAAGCCTGTCCGCACGTGCAGGAGCCGCGCCTCACACTGCAGCTGCAAGCAGCAAACCCATGAAACTTCTGGTCGCATTTGTCGCACCTCCGACACGCAGGAAGATGCCAGAGCAGTGCGAAGGGTGGGCCTGGCACGGCACTCTACGAGTAGGGCCAGCGGCGGCCACCTTTCCCCCACTCCGCAAGCGTGTCCGGCTTGCAGGAGCTGCTGGTACTGCCGCTGCAAGCTTCGAACCTGCATCAAGATTGCCACTTACAGCTCAGCTCTGAGCCGTAAACACCGCTGGACAGAGAGACGTAGACAATTACATCAGAAACAATGATCCAATGCCTGGCGCAGGGCTCGGGTTGCTGCCCTGACGGCCTCCCAGCTGCGACGTCAAACTGGAACCATGACACAAAAACAAGCCCTGTCCTCTGCATTGTCAGGCGCTGCATGTTCTGAGCACAGAGGCGCTTCACCTGAAGAGAGGAGGCACGCTGCACCGCACCGAAAGTGTCGCTTCGCTCGGTGGCCTTCAGGTACTCGTCTGCCAGAAAGGCGAAAGCAGAAATGTTTGACCTCACAGAGTTCCCCCAATGCCTCTACTGGTGTGCACCTTCTACTGATCGCTGAAACACCACTCTGAGATTCACGCACACTTTGCCATGAGAGCAAAACAGGGAAGTTGTTGCAAAAGTACGGGGGCAGCTCTGACAGTCAGTGGCAGGAGTCAATGGTTTGACAGATGCTGCCTGTGTGTTCATGCATGAGGATTCCAAGCTACTGCGTGGCCAGCCTGAGCCACACACTGCCCAGCATGACATGCGCTTGAGGCACTGCCAGGAAAAAACACGCGCGTTTAGTCCAGAAACAGCCGCAACGATGTCTACAAAAAGGCTGATGTGAACCCCGATATCCTGTAGTATTTCATCATGTAGGACATTGCCATAGACCTTCAGCAAACAGGCACATCTGCATGTCGGAACACTCAACTGCTGAATCACTGACTTGGGCTTGTGCACACTGCGCGAGACACCCTGCTGGCAGTGAATCAAGACAGAGCCATCCTCTCGTCAATGTGAGAGGCGCTCACTCGTCGGGCAGTTCCATCTTTCCAACAGCGAGGGCTGCCCGATCCTCGCGAATTCGGGCCTTTTCCAAGAAGGTCCAGCTTGCCTCCCCCACAAAGCATGTCTTCGATGCTTTCAACTGAAATGGTCAAAAGCCTCGAATCGAGACTGCAGGGTCTCTGTGGCATTGTCGCCCATCGAGACACGGCAATACTCGAATTTGGGATCCTGCGCAGAACACATCTCCATGCTGTTCAAGGGAGTCAAGCAATTCAATTCCAGTCGCACCGGAATTCCTTCTCGTACACATTCGCCACGCCGCCATCCGAACGCGGCGGTGTGCAGTTTAGGACATACCTGGCCAACCGAAGTGAGGCCCAGACTTTCCCGAGAATGAGAACGACACGGACAGCATCGCTAGCGTACCGCACTGTCGCCTCACATGACCCTCATCCAACATGCATGTTTCATGTTTGCATCAATCAAGAATCCGAATGCTTTTTGACTTTGCAGGTGCCGCTTGTCAAGGACTTGGGCTCAAAGATATCTGGCAGAGCACCTCAGGGGGCAGATGTTGTGATCCGATTTTGCTTGGATGGAATGATTGTCAATCTTGGGAGCGGGGCACCTGGGTCCATGCCAATGCCCAGGGGCCACTCGGTGAGTCCAAGCACGGGCCACTGGCTCGCGGCCTGAACGACCTGAGTATTGGACTCTCTCTTTGTTCAGGCGCTCTCTGATCTCTCTGAGTCTCCCGAGACTCCGCACCTCTTCGCCCTCCGCCGGGTCGCCGTCAATGCTGCACGCATCATCCACGTCCATCAACTCCGGGGAGGCCTCTTGCACCTACGCCGCTGGTGAGGAGGCCGGGAGGACTACTTCGTTGCAAACGTCACGGCCTCCTCGGCCTCCTGGAGATCCGGCACCTCACATAGGTCGGCCAGGTGTAAAAACGTTCGGGAGGGTTTTTTCGGCCGCCTGTATGCGTCCATGCCAATAGCGCTCGCAGTGGCAAAGCCGCAGTCGGCAGCGGGCCACCGGCAGCTGCGCGTTTGCAAGACCACGGCACCGAGCGCCTTGCCGCACCTACAAACGTGTGCTAACGCTGTGTCCACTGCCTCTGTCGCACCCGATCCAGCTCGCCTCTGTCGGTGAAATTTCCGCTGAGGCCCATCGCTCCAGCTTCTGCCGTAGTAGGCCCTCTGCCTGGTGCCAAGCTCTTTTTCAGAGGAACGCTGAGCAGGAAAGAATTTCGGACCCTTCGGCCTCTGCAGCAAGACAGGCCTCCAAGGATGGAGGTATTGCTGAGAGGAGCAAGGCCTCCAAGCCATCCTGGCATTCGAAAAGGCTGGCGCACACAGAACTCTGCACACTATGACGATGGTACAGAAGAGGGCGCTCGCACATAGAACATGACATTGCAGCACTGGCGTCTGCTGAACACCTCCTGCAATGCCGTCTTCGGTACAGAGACTGCTTTTACTGGTACAGTGTTTCAATAGTGCAGGTCCAATTAGCTGGAAGAACAGACTGTAGCACTGCGGATCTTAGACATTCAGAGCATTGAAGGGAAGCGCCAGCTGGTTGGTGCCTATGGTGCTGGGCGCAGTCTGGGCGCCATGTTGCAGGATCACCCGGTGCTGGCTTTAAAAGAAGACACAGACACCCTGCAAGTTGTGGCACTCGCTCGTCGCTTAACAGCAAAACCTGCAATCTTTCAGCGACGAGAAAGTGACATCGTCATTTAAACTACTGATGACTGCCGCACTCCAGTTATGAAAGCTCCATCCGTTGACTGCTCGCAAAGAGTTTAGGGTACAAAGGACACCTCAAGCAGCCCAGAAACCAAAAAGCCTAAGAAACTCGCCAGAATCTCCAAGAAGACGGAGGGAAACACTTCCCATGTCCTGTGCGAGGGCTGTCGGGCTCGAGGCCACTGAAAGAACGGCACTGGAGCGCAACCCATCGCAGTTCCGGACAGAACCCCTCCTCCAAGCATCCAACATGCTGCGTGAAGATGCCTGACCATGTACGGTCCCACACGAAATCAAATCAAGCTGAAAGCTCTAAGCATGCATGCGAGCCACAGCCAGCAGGCCTCAGCCGCTTCCTGACCCGGCAGCCACTGCCCCACTTTCTCGAATGCATCTGGCAACAACTCCTGGCTTGACAGAAGATGCCTAGCGCGCAAACTCGCTTTCAGACCCTTTGGATCCAAGCCTCGAAAAGAGAGCGGTATCTGGCGGCACCTTTGGCCTCATTCCAAGGCACTTCTGCTAGCGCTTCACTCTGTATGAAAGCCTTCTCACCGCCGCAAGCCTTGACCGGACCGAACAGACATGTTGCCATCCAAACGTAAGTCCTGGCTGCGACTGAGCTGCCGAGCACCTGGAGTTGAAGAGAACCTCACAGAAGAAAGGGCGGAGTCATGGAAAAAGTCGAGGAGTTGCACGGATTGTCTCATGCAGGCCGGGCGACATCACTGATCAGGAAGAGACGTGCCAAGACGGAGGCAGGGGCCAGGCCTGGCAGCGTCAGCGAAGCCACCTGACATGCAGTACGTGTTGTCTGTCTCGTCTGCTTACAGCAAAGCTCGCCCTGCATGTCTGCATCCAGGAACCAGGACGTGCGCCAGCATGGCACCGTGCACCGAGGCTTGCTCCATGCAGAAGGCCATTGCCTCCCCGACCGCAGACCTGAAATGCGAGCGGAGCTGGCAAGCTTGAAGCTCACAACACAACATAAACACAAAATCCCTCTGCATCCCCCATCGCCTTGTCGGTTGTAGCTTGAAGAGCAAAGACTCAAGGCGCTCCCTCTCCGGAACCAGGTGGCTGATGAAGAGCTTTCCCTGGTCTTCGTACAATCGGAAGTGAATCTGTACCTCGCACATCCGAGCGAAAAAGCTTCAAACCGCCACGTAACTTGCTGTCTTGAGCTTCATGACTTCCTCGCCCTCTCGTCTTCTTCTTGCGGGCCTTGCAGTCTACAAAGCTTCATTTTGGATCTCCGGCTGCACGAAGAGTTTGAGGTGATTCCTCTGTCTCCTCGTTCTTTCGCCAGGGCTGTGGGCAGAGGTTGCCCACTGCCCGCGCGCATCAGCGCCCCCGTATGTTACGGGGCGAGAAGTATGATTACATGCACGCAACACCGAGGCAGCTCTGTTAACGGTTCAACAAAGTAGTACACAAATGCAGTGCAACAAAGGCAACATCCCTAGGAACAGCAGACGGTACAGGCTATGAGCTGTTCCGGGCTTTTCCCAGGGTTGTGTTGTTCAGCACGCTCAGGAAGCTTGTAGGGGTTGACCAAAGCTGAAGCAAAACAGAAACACAAGGGAAGTACATGCCGAAAACGTGTGTTACGTGTTGCCTCTCAAGCGAGCGGCTGGAAATCGGCACAATGCCCTCTGCTGTTTCTGCTAGTCAGATATCCCCGGGTTCACACAAAACTAGAGACCCACACCTTCAATCAAGCAGCCCCGTGGAACCTACTGACGTCAAGGGAACCTGAACAAGCAGATGAAGGCAGTGGTCTCAAAACAGGGGAAGGTCCCCTGGCTGACAGGAAGCAATTAAAATTAAAAGGATGTTCGCATGTGCCACTTGAAGACCGGAGCTGCACGGACATGGGGGAAGTTCACATGGTCGCTCCTTCGGCATCCTAAGTTACCTTCTAAGGCAAACACCCTGATTTGGAACGGAAAACATTCAATGCAGCCACCTGGGCATGACAAGTGTGGATCGGAGTTGGAAGGCTTTAGCGGCCCGTCTTTAAAGAGTTATTGAGCAATGGCTCAGGCCCCGGTACGGATCGGATCTGGATGGCTCAGCGGCCGTCTGGATTAGGGCAGCAAACCCCACGCCAAAAGGAAAACAACTGTGCCAACTTGCGGGGTCCCCCGAGTACAACTTGAGGTGCAAACAATCAGCATCGAGACCAGGCACAACTGCGTAAATCAGGGCCCAAAAAGAAGTAGGAACATTCCCCGGTGGGACAGCGAACGTCAAGACGACTTTAGAGAACTTGGCTGCTGGTCTCACAGAAACAGGCTCTCAGTAGTCGGGCTCCCCCATAAAGGTAAGTCTTCCCTGTGGTCGTCAGCGTTTTCGGTCCATCGCTTTCCCCCAGGCTGAGGACTCGCTCTGATGTGGTAGTGGAGCTCACAGTCCTTCCCCTTGGTCTCCTTGGCACTTTCACGAACTCGATGTTGGCAATCTCCCCGCCCAGCGCACAGGTACTCTTAGGTCGGGCCCCGGTGCAGATTTGAGTTCCCCGCGAAGTAGGACTTTGTAGCAGTGGGGAGTCGGGCAACTACGGTGTAGATCTTGCTTCCGGCAGGATCTGTGCAAGGATGTAGGGGCTCAAGGAGGTAGGGCAGCTCGGATTGGGTCAGACTAGGCTTTAGTTGTTACGTGAGAAGAGGAGGGGGCTTCAGGCCCTCAGGCGGCACAGGTCCGGGGCACCTGTCCCCCCCTTATATCCCCCCTTCGAGCACGCGTGGACCAGGTCAAGTTGTCCAGGATGAAGACACCTTGAGCCAAAATACCCTAAACCCTAAACCCTAAACTCTGTCTCCTCTCTCTTTCTTTCTTTCTGCAGGGCGTAGGGGTCAGCGTTGCCGACCCTCAGGCCTTCGGCCCGCCCCACCACCCATTGTTTTAGTGTCCTCTCTTTCTTTCGCCAGGGCTATGGACACAGGGGTTGCCCCGTAGTGTCCTCTCTCTCTCTCTCTCTCCCTCCTGGGCATGGGACGGGTGAACGTCCCCGGGCTGATTAGCCCACCCAATGTTTTATTGGGTGTACGGGGAGTGAGAAACGAATATTTGGTCACCATAGACTTCAGATATACAGTATGCGATGACGAAACGAGGTGACCGTTTCTTCTCAACAGAAACATGCAAGAAAGTTGGAGCATCCATTCCCCTGTCAAGGTGCAAGGCAAAACCAAGATTAGAATGATTGACAGGATGGATGTCCCCCTTCATGTGTGTGGCCGCCCTACCTTTTGGCTGTAGTCGGTGTGGGGCACACACCACGCACAATTCCCCCGCACTCCGTATTGGAGTAGCAGGTGTCCAAAGGTCTTTAGCAGTACACTGCTTCTCATTATTATTCCCCCCAATAGAAAACTGCAAAACAGTGATACACCATGGACAACGGAGGACCCAAGAGGGCTAACAAAGTTAGAGCACAGACTGGTGGTGTCCTTGCTTGCTGGCTTGCTACTGGCTTAGAGGAGTGAGAGTCGTAACCCCCCCTCCCCACGCAGTGCGCGCAGCCAAGTTCCTGGTCCCGCAAAGGAACGAGTCTATTGTCGTTCTTTGCGACTGGTACAGAAGGGCATTCCCTATGTTAGGGATCCCCCGAGGTCAAGGTCGGCATGGAGTTGGAATCGAACAATGACTTGTGGTGTCCTCTTTGCTTTGCTTTGCTCCGGGGTTGAGGTNNTGAGGTGTGGGCAGGCCCCACACCCCGCGCACGTGGCGCACCCCCTCCATCATTTTGTTGGAGGGGCTCGGCTGTGCAAAGGAGTTTGCGGGTTGAGCGTTCGTTTGGTACTAACGCCCCCGGAGGCAGGTGCACACATAAAGCATCAAACAACATGCCATGACGTCCCTATATCACCGAGTGCCCCTGCAAAAGGACTAGAAAAACAAGTTCAAAGCCTTGGGGGAAACACGTGCCCGAATTGACGGCCCTCCACTCTTGTGTTGGGTTGGGCACCCCTCATGTGTGGTTCGAGGATGCAACAGCGAGTGCCCCCAAAAGCGAATTCTCGACGCCTGCTTTTTTCAAGCGGGTGCCTCATGGTAAGAAAGCGGATCGAGTGGTACACGGAAAGGAGCTGAGAGCTTCCTGTATGTGCACGTCAAAATTTTGTACTCCTAGGGCTGGTGCTCTCACTGAGGTTTGTCCATTTGGGCCGCCAACTTCATGACCTTCTGAACGAGTCCCTCGTGTGGCGGCTTGCCTCCTTTTTGCCCTGCTCCTCGCCGTGGTGGTTCGCTTGGTTCCGCTGGTCTCGTGGTCCCGGGTACCCAGTGTCGCAGCTGCGGCATTGGGCGATATGCCTCGCCCTTTCCCAGGTGTTGGGTCTGCTCGTAGTCCTCCACTTCTCGTCTTTTTGCCCTCGCCTGGTGGTAGAGGGCTTGTTCCCCCATGGTTGCGCTTCCCCTCGCCGACGAGCTGGTACTGGCCGTGAAAGGTCCTATTGCAGGCGCTGCTCCCACGCTTCGAGGGTCCACTCCTCTGGCTGTTCCTCCTTGTCGGGGTGGGTGTTCCGGTGTCTCGGCCTTTGTGTCGTCCGACTTTTCTTGTCGTTTCTTCTTGCTCTTGTGGTGCTTCTT